GGGGGTGGACGGTGGACGGTGCACATAGGAGCCCACGTGGGGCAGGGGCTTTAGTGTTTCTATAACACTAAGGCAGTGTTTCTATAATACTATAAGGCAGGAGAATCTGGCCCTTCAAAGTGCATGACCATGTATGCATAAAAGAGGGAATTTTAAAAAACACAAAATCAGCATCAACAGCTTGTTAAGCACTAAGAAATCCACCTTTACTTACGAGTGCTAAAAATTTTAGGTCCAGCCTACTTAAGTATTTACTATGAGTAGTAAAACCCCCTCCTGATATAAAAGAGTCTAGGTGTCTTAAGAGGCAAGGGAAGAAACAGCATTAAGTATTTCTTACACAGATGGGAGTTTTCTATAAATGATACCAAGATTTCTGTATCAATTTGTTTCTATATCAGAAAGCTTTTTAAAAATTCAGTGTTTAAGATACAATAATAATAATAACAACAACAATAATAATAAATCACAGGTGACTAAGGTTTCTCCCACTGCGATGGAGGGTGACACACACTGTATCCAAGTAACAACCAAGGTAAGCAAACAAATGAAGTGATACCAACTGCACAGTGAAAGGCAGAGAACCCACCCAGGCCTGAACTATGCAACTCCCTCCAGGTCCTACATCTCACTGAATGCGATTCCCCAGCCTGACTGTTAATGAAACTATCACACAAACACACAAAACAGTAGTTTCCTTACAGCATTTCACAGGGCTAAGGCTATTTCCTAGATTTTTCTACATTTGTTAGGTGGATGTGGCTATACAGTAATAAAAATCAGAACTGTGGTGACACCTTGTGACCAATCTCACAATTACACAGACACTTGTCCAAACAGACATATGTCTGTTATGTCCAGAGGAAGATCTCACATTTTGATCCAAAGTTCTGTATTCCCTACACTTGCTTCTCTTAGAGTCTATCTTATAAATAAATAACATCAGCCTGGCAAACATCACCTTACAAGTCCATATAAATATTTCCATGATGGCTTTGAACTCATATGTACTGTAATTTCAAGCAGTATTCTTCACATTGCTGATAATTACAGGTACAGTAGATATTTTTCAAGGATCAGGCCCTAAAGCAGAATTCTGAAAGATTTTATCAAAGAGAACTCCAAACAAAACAACAAAATATTTTTCTTCAACAGGCAGTCCTCTAAACCATGGGAAATGCAAAAGACCCTAATGCCATCCAAGAACTAGTAATAACCATATGCAAGTTAAAATGACTGATCCAAGTCTTAGCCACAGCGCTGACGATAACTACCCTCCCAGAGCCAAAGCTCAGCAGGGTCAGGAAAACCTTAGCTTAGCTCAAACAAAAAACCCTAACACTGTTCATTCATTAGCTGACCTTTTCTGAATCAGTACTAACTTGATGTGCTCCACACGGGGAGAGAAGGGAAAATGTCAGCACATTGTTTTTGCAGGCTGTGAAAGGGAAGGAGAGCTGAACGAGAAGTGAAGTGCAAGGCCGTGCAGCAGCCATGCCCCCTGCTGACCAGGACTGCTTGGTTCTCCTCTCTCTCCTCTGCCTGACAGCCAAGGGAGCAGGAGGGGAGGGATGGCAAGGACAGGAGTCTGAACTCATGTGCAAGGAAGGCTGTTCAAGGTGGTACAGGACAAATGGCAAGAACATAGTGAAAACAAGGAGGCAAAGAAAGGTGGAAATATTTTGCTCATTTTTTGAACTCTTCCTTACCAGTTGTTGCAAGTAACAGATTTAGATGGACAACTTCAAGTCTCATTTACCCCCTACCCGCCACCTCCCAGAGTTATGCTGTTGACAAAACAGTGGGGTTTTTTTTTTCTGCACTGTTTGCACAACTGAAGTACAGCTCTAATCTACTCCAAGGAAGCTGCATTTTATGTTTTCTAAAAACAGACAAACTCTGGTGACAAATTCTAGCTACAGGGGGAAAAGAAAAAAAAAAAACCCAAACCAACAAAACCAAACAAACCCCAAACCAAAACAACAAAAGCACCACATGTCAAAAGACAGTCATGGTGAATTTCACTGTAATTTATGAATCCTGAGGATGCAACTGTTGGCAAGGCACATGAAAAATGTTAACTGCAATCGTAAAGATGAAATCTAACATTTCTTTTTTTGCAATAACTCACTAGCTTTAGAGCAAGAGCTGTGTGCAAAGTACTCATCTTAAAGATTTTGTTTTGAACAATGAGAACTATCTAACATTTGAAAATATTTACTACATTTCTCCAGTTAATGGAAAAATAAAACTTCTGACTCTTTACTGTTTCTTTAAGATTAATGGCCAAATCCTCCTCAATTTTTACACCTGAGCTGTGAGCTCCTTATCTCCTTTCTTTATCAAGAGATGTGAATACTGAACCCATACACCTATACTCCAACCTTCCACTAACCCTCATTTCCAGGTACAGAGAAAGGCAGTTATATCTCCAGTGTGCAGTTCTGATTTACTTCAGAGTCAGCAGAAGGCATCTTTTGCAGATTTGAGACGTCCTCTGACACTTTCATCTAGATCCTTTCTGTACCAAGTTAAGTCAAAAGCAAGTTACTTATATTTGATTAAAGGCTACAATCAACAAGAGACTACCCTAGAGGACAGACTAATTAACTTTTTTGCATGCTTTTTCCCCCAAAATCCTACAGTATAATCTCTAGTGATGCCAGAAAATTAGCTTTATTGAGGAAATAAAAGCAAATACATTATGTCCTAGGCTTACCACTAAGCAGTTCAATCCAATTTTGTACTGTTTCAGGAGGCTGGGTCTCTTTTATGTGTTTCAGAGCTTCATCAAGCAGAACATCCCCTGTAGGAGCATCTGACTTGCAAATCACCTAGGACAGAATAAAATGCAGTTAGTATTTTGAATTAATTCATATACTATAAACATACACCAAAAAACCCTGAAAAATCTACCTGTTAATAAAACTAAGGAATTTTTTTTAAAATAAGGAAACATATCTAAGAATATGCAACTTTAAAAACATACCTATTTGTTAAAAAAACTATCTTGGATTTTAATCACAAAGCTATGCTAAGTCTTAGGTTATATATAACTTAAATTAATCTTAATTGACTAAAACTAGAGTATTAACAACATGGTTAATACCTAATTTTTAAAGGAAGATAATCCACTAAACCAAACACGTGCTTCACTTCCTCCCCAAAACAAAGTATACTACAGTGTTAGATTACTCTCTGATGGCTGTCTATTTTACTGCTTCGAGTGAATTTATTCACCTTATCCTGCAGTTCAACAATTAGGCCATGTGAAATTGAGAAATCAATTACAAACTGAAAAAGCAGGAAACCTTGTTTTCTTCTTCCATATATTGATGGATAAAAGTAGGTTCAAGACAACATCTGTAAGTTTTACAGCTCTGAAGAACACAGGGACCAGCAACAACATGTTCCATTCACTAACAGGTAAAACACATGTATGAGGCAAAACATCTATGTACTAATAAATCCCTTAATATATAATAATAAATGCAGTGTCATTTAAGTTTGTTATTTAATAACTTTTAAAATTATTTGAGCTCTTCCCTCAAGAGTACAGAAGAACAACAAAAAATCACTCACAGTAACACAATAAAATTTAAGAATTTGAATAACTGCTACTTATGCTACAGTATAAGTAGTATATAAACCATGCACAAATATATTTTTTTCTGGTTAGAAAAACAAGAGCATCAAATTAAGACATACAAATTAAACTAGTTCAAGTCAATATATTTGAATAAAACCGATATAACAAAAATAAAATCTATCTTTCCTTAGGAAAAGAAGAATTACTACAAATTCAAATCTATTTATGAAAATAACAACTAAATCTGGTAATTTAAATAGTTTTACAAGTCAGCACTTCACAAGCAGGCAAAAATATAAAAGGCAACTGACAGAAAAACTAACACATCAACCCAGTTCCACATACACGAGAGAAGAAGCAAGTGAAAGCTCTTATTTTTCATAAAGCTTTGCAGTAGTCAGAAAGGTGCCCTTGAAAAGCTTTATGTGTCCTACTGAAAGACATTCCAAGTTTAGTTCTGTTGCATAGTTCCAATAATCCTTACTACAAACAATAGAGGAGGAGTACAACATGTTTTCATAGGGTCTGTAGACAACACTGAAATGAGTTACAACTCGAGTACTGGCAAGATTGTTTCCACTGGAGATGTGCACAAGATCAATGAGATTAAATTAAAAGGACAGTTGCTGCAGAGATCTTTGTGAATACTTAACAGGTTATTTCCAATTTATATAGTGTATATATAAAGCACAGAAACTAAGCAAGAATGAACCAGTCCACAATGACAGGCTAAAAAAACCAAAGTTTGTTTAGATCTAAAAAGAAAGCACGTAAGGTATTTTTACAAAGAAGGTATCAAACAGCAGTTTAGGGTGCCTGCTTTGGGATAAATAAAAGATAGCAGCTTATTCTGCAAATAGGCAAGATGCAGGATGTACGGTCAAAAACTTCAACAGGAAAATTAAACACCCAGAGAGCTGTTGAGTTGCGTTCAGTAGAGAATTTTAAGACTAAACATAAGCCAGGGAAGGACCAGAGAAATTATCTGTTACTCATCAAGATTATCTGTTACTGCATCAAGGTTAAATGGTCACTTGATGTACCGTTCAGGTGTCCATTTTGGGGCACATTACTCCAACCATAAACTTTGGATATTTGCCTTTAAGAACACAACAACATTTTAATCCAGACATCCTCATTTGAAACTAAACACACAACAACGTCTATTATCTTTCTAATTTACAAGCCTGCGCCACAGCATCACTCAAAACCTCTGTTAACCACATATAATATATCTTCCAGTTTTATATCAAAATTCTGAATTTTTTGAAGTTTCTGTTCTTCAATTGTACAGGAGCATGATTCAGGTTGGGTTTTTAAGCTGCAAGACTGCGGTTATTAATAGTCATCTTTCAGATATTCCTTTAATAATTAGCCTAAAAACACTCAACTTATTTATCTTTACTTCTTTTAAAAACTGATGTTCTAGCAGTATTTTAGTTTCTTTGAAGTGTCCCATTGATTAGTTTAACAGATCGTTCCAGCCTGCTGCAGTTGGTAACCTACTACTCACCATCCCACTCTAACTGTGAGGTAAAATGGGAAGTCATCTTTTTAACTTCTTTGATTATTAAAACAAAAAAACCCAAAGCATACCTCAGTGGAGAGATAAAAAAATGCTTTTAAGTCTAGTATGTATAGAAGAGGTTTTTTAAAGAAGTTTAAAACAGCTTTCCTTGCTTATTTGGTGAGAAGACACTTTTTTCTACCACTGCAAAGTTTAAGAAGCTGGTCTGAACATAATGCACCATGGCAGTATGAGCCCATACATACAGGCATGTAGGGGAAAGAGCTGTAAGGAGCACAGACTCCCCCATTCAACCCTGTCAGGACTCCATCAGCTCTTGGGAAGCCACAATGCACATCAATTTTGTTTCCAAGTTCACCGTTCTCTGCAGCCAGGCATACGGCACCGTTTCTTTTCACTTCTCTCCTACATCAAATATTCACCACACAGATTGTTTTGATTATCCTTCACCTCAGACAGAAGTATTTTGGTTCACACTTCCATGGTATTTTTCTTTCTCTACCCTTCCTGGCACACGGAAACACGCAACAGCAGAAGCCCAGTCACCTCTCTCCTGTCTCCACAGATGTGCTCTTTCTGAAGGATTTACTGATGAATGCTTCCTGGCTAACTCTCTTCAGACTCGTAACAGCAGGAGAAGAGTGGGAATCAAGTGGGTTGGGGATGTCATTAATTGAATCACTACAGAAGATTAAACATCCACAAGGGGGAATTTTTTTTCTCTAACAGAGGAGCTAAGGCAGAGAAGGAAGCTAAGATCCTAGTTCTTCAGAGATTATGGTCCTTAGTGTTACTGCAAAAAGTCTTTATTTGGTCTAATTTTTCAGTGATTTATCAGGTACTGGATTTGCCTTGTATCCAGCTGCTGAGGAAATTTCAATTATACAGAATATTTAATCTGCATTTTCCACAATGCAGCTTTGCCCTTAAGCAATGCTAAAGATTAAGCACTTCCTGCATTGATTTTTAAGTAAACTTCATTATTAGTTTTAATACAAAAATTGAGTCATGCACGAATCACTCAGAATTGTCAGCTATAAAATACTGAAGTTAACCCACCAAAGATTTACCGGGATTTCTTTTGTTTTTAAGAACTCCAACGATTTGGTTTGCTTTCTGATGCTGTAAAGCAGCATAGAGTACCATTTTTAACAACCCCTAGTCTTATAAACTACTTTATTTATATATAAACCTCACTCATTTATTTGTTTCTAAAATTGATACCAGTAAATAGAACTCCAAAATGGTGTAATGATTACATATTCTTAAGCCAAATTTACAAGAAAGTTGCAGCATAAAATACATTCTGTTGACTTTCAAGGTTTCACTAACATCCATCAAATCCTTGTCTGTCATCTTCTCGGAATCTTTTACCCCTCTCCATGGCATTCAGACATAGATTTAATGCATCCTGAACACATTCTGAAGTCCCATCTTAGAAACTGCAAAAAATTATCAGCAAAGATCCACCTGATTTAAGGCTTTAAGTAGAAATCATCATAGCTAGCAATCTTTTAAGTCAGCTGTATGACCAAGGCCACAGTTAGCTGGTTGTAAATCTGTACTACTGCTCAAAGAACTAGTTCTACCTTCTTCATGTTCTCACCTTATTGCTTGGGCCAGCAGTCTCTCTTGTGCCCCACCTGATGACAACATCAAGAAAGTGATTCAAGTCAAAACTAAACTGATCAAAGAAGTGAACTAGTTTTCAGCCAGAGGGGTTATCTGACAAGGCTGTACAAATGCTGGTAACAACCCAAGAGAGAGTCCAGGACTACCCTTCTCAGCTGTAACAGCCTAAGCTGACTGAAGCCTAAACTCCTCCCTTCAGATCATGGCTTGAAGATACAGGATTTTGATTCGAGTTTTAAGGAGGTTTTACCTTCCCACAAAATCTAAGGACAGGCGTGAGGCAAGGAGGAAGAAGATCTAGCCTGAGAGGCAGAAGCTATAGAAAATGGTATTGCCACTGAATTGCAGCCTTGGATGCAATTAGACATTCCACTCACTAAGCACAGTATTTATTTCATAAGAACAGGTGAGGGCAAGGGGAGCAAAGCCTGCAAAAGGGGGACAAGGAGGACACTTGGTAGCGTTCAATCTACCCAACAAAGAAACAAGACTGAAACTTGGTGTTAAAGTTTCAAATAAGGTACAAACCAACACAAGGCATTCATGAGAATGATTTATAAATTGAGAGAGGTGGTGCAGGGGCAGAAGAAACCTAATATGTATCAGCAGTTAGGGATTTTTACTTGCAAGAAATTACTGCAGCAGGAACCAATCTGCATTTAAATTTTAAATTGTTTTTCATAGAACCCTCCTGCCTGCAAAAAGAAATCTCTCAATTGCCTTACAACAGCAGGAAGAACAAAATCTTTAATACTGGGTAGCTTTTATATCTCTTTAAAAAAAGGGGTAGTGGGGAGGGAAATAAACCCATCCCCTAAATCACATGATAAAATTTAAGGAAAAACCCACTAACAAACAAAAAATCCCACAAAACAAACTACCAGAAAATAAGACAGTAATTTTTCTTGTATTCTTTACTGCAGATATATATAGGTTACTTTTCCGTTTTCCTAAAAAAAAAAAAAAGGTAACATTTTAGGTAGACAGAGCTGACAATGTTTGCACAGAATGAAAATACCTGCTAAAGAACATTCTTGAATAACTAAGGAGCCAAAAGCTTTGGAGGAAAAAAAAAAAATGTGCAAACTAATCAATGCTGGATATGCTTAAATGAAGCTAAAAGAGGTAGGAGCTGTTTTTCTGAACAGAGGTTCAATTCTTTAGAAGAGGAAGCTGGGAGAAGGCTGCAGAATTTGCAAGCTTTCCTTTAAAAAATTTAGCAAAAGATAATATTGACAGGGAAATGTGCCCTAAAAGAATTCATGTGTTGGATAGACAACATTTGACCATGTTTTCAATAAGCTTATTTTACAAATGTCCTCTAATGCTGATGAAGTGAAAATTCTTCAAATAGTGTGACTTTGCACATTTTGTACAAAGGAAAAATCCAGCAGCAAAAGTAATAAATTAAGGCCTCAAATATTCAGCTTAATTGTATAAAAGACCTTAAAAAATTTCCCATCTTAAAGGTCAGTGAGTACAATAAATTTAACACACCGGCCACATGCTTAAACTAGTACAGTTTCGTGTTCTCAGGGGCCCAAGGTACAAGATTCACTTCCTCCCCATGCAGTGCAAGCACAAACTGCAACACTGTGTACACCAGAATTAAACTCGTGGCTTGCAGGATACATCTGGCAGGCTGTCAGTTAGCCATTCCTCTCAGCCTCAGCCCACAGCTCACCAACATTGCAAAAGCCAGCTCCTTCAGCGGATTGCAACCGCTGCTAGTAATTCTCAGCAGTAACTGCTGTCACCGCACCCTGGCCAGAGCCACTGCCAACTGTTTATGCAAGAGACTCCCAACAGCAGCAGGAACACATCAGGAGAACACACAGGAGCAGAGGAAAAGTACAGAAGATTTTCCAAGGCACTTCAGCTAGCCATTTAAACACTCTTAACTCTGTGCACAGAACTTAGGTCACTACTCAATCCCTATGAAAAAAAAGAAGTATTTTTCTTACAACCAATTGTAATTTATAGCCACTGCCTGGAGCATGACACAAAAGTAGATGTGACCATTTTCCTCCACTTACCTTTCTTGTTAATAGACTTTTGCGCCTCATTCCACAAGCCTCTAGCTGAAGACGCCCTCGCAATGCCAATTCGATTAACATACAGCCACGCAGTCCTGAGGAGATGCAATCATTCCAGAATGATGTGTAACCCTGTGAAGAATGAAAGACAGTAAGATACCTCCATCTCCACCTGAAAGCAAATAGAAAGAGAGGCTCACTGCAATCTCTAAGCAGCTCTCCTGCCTTCACAGACTTTTGAAGTAGCATCACTAGTTCAGTACAGGAATGGTAGACATGAAAGAGGAACAGACTCATCTCATATTAGTTTTGACATTTGGTCTTTCAAGAACAAGGAAACCTCAGGAAAGTGATGCAAAACGAAACAGCATGATATCAAGAACTGTGAGGTGTAGTTTATACAGTCAAAATAAACTTACTACATTTCTGAAACATCAAGTGTTTGGCATTATCGACATCACACAGGCTTATCTGAGTTTCCTGAGAAATATTAACATGATTTTACATCCATAAAAAATATGGCACTGATGAAGTAATAACCACCTGAAAAGCAATAGTAAGTAAAATATAAAATATACTGGAAACACAAACATGGCAATCAGCACAAACAACAGCAGAGATTTTTCAACTTGAATATAGTAAACCAGCCACTGGCGAAGGCTGAGCCAGTCAGAAACGATGGTAACGCCTCTGTGGTAACAGAATTTGGGGAAAAAAAAGTGAAGAGAAAAAAAGGGGCACACTTTGCAGCCAGAGAGAGGAGATGTGAGAGAAACAACCCTGCAGACACCAAGGTCAGTGAAGAAGGAGGGGGAGGAGGTGCTCCAGGCACCAGAGCAGAGATTCCCCTGCAGCCTGCGGTGCAGACCATGGTGAGGCAGGTTGTCCCCCTGCAGTCCATGGAGGTCCATGGTGGAGCAGATACCCACCTGCAACCCATGGAGGACCCCATGCCAGAGCAGGTGGATGCCTAAAGGAGGCTGTGACCCCGTGGGAAGCCGGAGCTGGAGCAGGTTTGCTGGCAGGACTTGTG